AAAAAAAAAAAAAGCAACAGTATGAGAACACTTTCCACTGGAGAGAACAAAGGCCCTAATTTAGGACTTCTCCCATTGCCAGCAACCCAAATGTTCTTACTTTTCTAGAAGTAAATTCCAATACCACCTACCTTAAACCATGGAAGACCTCGAAATTACATCTTGCATATCTACAAGTTCTGGATAGTTTTCATGGTTTTCCTGGGACATGGACAATTCCAAATACTGCAGAGAATCTTAATGTCTAACCACTGAGAGCATTTAATGGCCCAATAAGAAAAATGGGAAGAATTAATGGCACACATCCAGAGACAGAAGGACTCACTTAAACAGAACAAGGACTGCACATTCTCCTGCTGTGTGATATGCTGCCTGCAGTAACAAACATCAAGCCCCAGACTTCACCATTTCCCTATTGCCAGCAAAGGGACAAGGAAGTCCTGAGCATTTCTTACTGTGCCGTAGAGGCTCACTGATGCAACAAGATGTTAACATTCTTCTGCCACTGAGGCTTTAATCACATAATGACTCTTCTGCTTTTGTACTTTGCAAACAGAAAAAACTCAACAAAACTCTTTGTCCCCCACCCAGATAAATCTTAGAAGAAACCATGCTTGGCATGAACTCAACAACTATGTTAGTGAAAGCATAATAATAATAAAGAATTAAACCCTCAAATGAGGAAATTCATTATATTGCTGTCAGAATTTGGATACTACATAGTAAATGAGATTGAGAACACACATTGTAAGGTGTGGCAGAGATAAAATACTGAACATCTGCTTATTAAGAAAACAGTTGACCTCATCTTGTGCAATGGAGAGATGAGGTTCCTAGAAGCATAAACGTATGACCATGCAATTAAGCACTGTGCCACAATATTTACACAGCACTGAACAGGGTCAATTACAATTGTAGAGACAATCTTAATTCTTCCAGCATTTGAATTTTCCATTTGCCCCCTTTCTGTACTTCTCATGCAGATTTCGTGCTCAATTTGGAGGGCAGGAATTCTTATTAATATAACTAAACTTCTGCTTTATTCCCCACAGAACATAATTCTAGTCAAAGACAAGCTGGGCCACTCTGAGAACTGAGTATATAATAGCTACTGAAGTAGTTCATGCTCTGTCTCAAGTATGGCCTAAATTCAAACCTAAATTCTATCTTGAAGCCAAGCCATTTAGACAGAGGACCATGCTTACATCCTTTTTGGTTGAAACCCACCATTGTGAGGATAGCCTTGAGCTCTTCCTTCTTTTCAGCATGGGCTCAGCAACACCGACCCTCTAAAGCATGTGTAAGATTGACAGGAAGCCAAACTACAGGCATTGTCTCACTAGCAGCCAGGTGTTAATTACAGAGCATGTACTAGGGCTCTCTCAGGCCTCGGTTCTATCACAGTGCTGGAAATAATTAATTATGTAAATAAGTAATTATGGGTCATTACATGAAGAAAGTAATTAGCTTTCACTGCTAATTACTGCAGGTATATAACACAATGTCATCTGTTTATAGAAGGCAGTATTCCACACAAGAGCACTGGAAACAAGATGGCTGCTTTAGCACAGCAAGCTGATAGTACCTGGTGTTAGCAAGGTAACAGGGATATTAGCTATCCACAGTCTCACTACCGGGGCGCTGACAACAGACCCTGACCTACCAGACACAGGTGCACTGAAGGCCTGTCTGCAGTCTTGCTTGTGTTGGTCAGCTGTGGCACCTCTCCCCAGGTGTGATAGGGAGACAACTGTGGTAGGGCCCTAGAAGATCTGTGAGAGAGTAGCGTTGAGATCAAACCCAGATCAGAAAGTAAGCTGCATACTTGCACCTTGGGGTAGAAGGAAGCTGGAGTATACCCCAGTTATGTTCCTTACATTCTTTCATTCCATTTTCAGCATCAGATTCTGGACTTTAATATTGGGTAGGAACTGGCAGACAACTGGTGATCCAGTTATTTCAAAACGTCATGTCCAAATGTCATCTTTAAATGCCGCATATTTTTTATGAAAAAATATTTGATTGCTGCATAATTCATTCTACCCTTTCCCTAAGTCATTTCTGTGCCCAGCTGCCATGCTGGGCTGAGGGCACATGTATCTCAATTCAACAGATTGGATTTAAAACCTGAAGTTAGTACATGCTGGAACATATCTGTGGTACCTGTCATCATTCCTTTCAAGTTCTGCAATAGCTCCCACATTTCCTGAAGCCCTAAACAAGAGAGTGTATTCATCACACTTGTTGAAAAGCCAAGGCAAAAAGTCCAAAACAATAAACATGATGAGCCTGTCCTTTCTGTAAGCCTCACCTAGAGCCATATTAACTAACTGATGAAGCCGTGATTCCGTGGCTTGTTTCCCTGACATCCTGCAGCTGCGCTAAGGGAGTAACTTTGTGACTGTGGGTTCATGACCCAGGACACACACTTTCAAACTTGTATTCTGCATAAATAATCTGTTCCTACTCACTCACTCAACTCATATACTCATTTCTCACTCTTGTATGTGAGAAATGAGCAAATATCATCGGGGAGATCTCTAACACATAAAACTTCTTGGATTTAATTCATACCTGCTAACACCAACTTGTGTATGTATACATACCAGACAGAATCTCTGTTTCAGTTTTCTCCTTCTCTATATTTCTGCTTTTACTGGAGTTGGTGAAGAAATGAAGGTAATTTCTAAATAAACAAGTAATGGAGGAAATAGTCCAGCCCTTTTTTCTATTCTTTCAACATTTGTTTCACATTTCCAGCCACCAATTCACAATACTTGGAGACAGAGTCTTGTTTATCATCAAATCCATCTCTTTGTCAGGACAAAGTAATCTCTCTCTTTCATGGAACTCTCAAACCTTTAAAAAAAAAAAAAAGTACAGCTCCTTTCTACAGCTTTATCCATCTTTTCTGATTCTGCAGAAAACAACTTCATCTTTCAAATGCATGCTACCTGGGATCATCCCCAGGAGAAAGAAAACCACAGGGAACTGAGCTCCTGCGTTTTCACAGACGGGGTGCATTCCCCAAAGCAGGACTTCCTGTTGCTAATCTCAAAGATAACCCACCACATCACTAGAAAAGCTGCAATCCAGTGCTTTGACTGAGACCAAATAACATTCCTCCAAGTATCCCTGTTTACTCCCCTTTGCCATATCGCTCAGGAGTCAATGCATTTCCAAGAGCCTTCACCACCCAGTACTCAGCCTGACTCAACAAAGTCTAGATAGCTGACAGTATCCCAGGGAAACCCCTGCTGGGTGGATGTTTCATCCAAGCTCAGGCTGTATGCATCCTACTCATGAACTCTAGTCTAGATCGCCTTGGATTTGTAACAGAGGGCATCTCAGATTTCTTAAATGCTTTTACAGCAGTTTGCCCAACAGCAAGAAAAATGCAACCACCATCTACCTCTGGGAACACTTCAACGGTCTGGCAGAAGAGACAGTGACCAGTGAAAACAGGGCATTAACCCATCTGCCTGCAACTCTGAAATTCTTTTTTTTCCCTTGTGTCTAATGCAGACCTATGTCATTGCTTAGAAATAGTTCCACCTATAAACATACATTAAATAGATACTGCACACATTGATATGTTTATATTAATATATTACACTATCTAAATAGATATTCCTTAAATAAATTATAAAAACAACAAATTTTGACCAGGTAGGGGTTCTGAATCTGTCTGTCCGGTAACTAATACCTTCTTTTAAATGATCATATGAATATCTTTCTCTGGCAGTGTCACAGGTAGACAATTCCCTGTAAGAACTTTCTTTTCTTAGAAGCATAATCCTAAATTTCTTTCTTTGCAGAACAATTCTTGATACCTCTTTACAAGATGCACTACACCACCAGAACAATTCATCCTTATCTGTGCTTCCCTTCTGAATCATAAGGATTGGGTCAGAAGTTCAGCCCAGTGTGGACATAGTTTTGTTTATGGACAGCCACTCTCAGCTCTGCGAAGAGACTTTGAAGCTTTTTCCCAGACGTGTTCTTAGGGGACTGTAACCTGCGTAGCAGTAGGCTCTGCACAGGGAACATCTCTTATACTGAGCAGGACTTTCTCATTCTGTGTACAGGTATTTTCTCTTGTTCTTTGGCATGTGATGTAAGTCAACACACAGGCCTTCATCATCAGAAACCCCTCCTCCAACCATTACCCACATTTCTTTCCAAGTTATCTGAGCTCCAGGACCTCTTCCTATAAAACTAAGTTATTCTAAAGACACAATTTTGACCTGGTCTTGAGGGTGAGGCAGCAAAACTGCCTTCTCCCTCCACATATCAATCCCTAAAAGCTAATGTACAATAACGATGGGTTCAGCTACCTTAAATTAAGCTCATTTCTCTAGTAAAGGTTTGTTTTGTACACTTCTTTTCAATCTCATTCTGAATTCTCACAATTATTCATTTTCTTCTCACACCAAACTGTATCATTACAAGAACCAACCTAAGTAGAAGAGAGTGCTTCCCAATGGTTAAGTCCTTCAGATAAATTAAACTTTCTTTCAGATTAATCCCCTCTGAGTAGTGGAAGCATAAATATGAAAAGTAGAATAGATTTGTCCCATTTCATCTGCCAACACAAAGAAAGCCTTGGAAGCAATGCAGAAGATACTTGGACTGTATCTGAATTATGACCCATCTCACAAACCACAAATGCAAGTTTGGAAAGCACCCACACAGGGGCAGAAAAGTCTCTAACATTTAAAATAATGTGAGCATTTAACAGATGATGAGAAAAATAGGCATTTTTCTCCCCTTCTTTTCACTCTCTATTTCAGCTTTGCAGGGCTTTTCAGTGTGGGAGGTGTGTTTAAACAGGGGCAGAGCTCGAGGGGCAGTGCACAAGATTAGGAAGTTCAGTGTGGCAAAGTAATTACCTGGCTCTATCCAAGTGCTCAGGGAACTTGTCACAAATCAGCTGAAAAGAGTAGTTCTCCACTGAGCATTATGAGTAGCCAAGTGTGTGCTGAAAGCTGGACCCCTACCTTGTCTCGAATCCCTTGTCTCATAACTTCTCTTTCAGCCTCCATTTTGGCATATTTGGCTTTCCTCTCTTCCTCTTCTTGCCTGAGGGCTTCCTGTCGTTCCTCTTCTTTCTTGGCAGCATCTGGGTCTTTCTCCTCATCCCCACCCAGCATCTTCCCCATGTCTTTGGTAGCCCCTAGAGAAAGCACAAGAAAAAGTCAGCCCTGTAAGAATGTGAGAAAAACACTATTACACCAGCTCGCTCCTTCCTCACACTCAGGACCTCCTTCCACTCCTTCTGCATCTGGAAAGGTTTCTCCTTCCACTGAGGAGAAGGCACACTCCCCACAGAGGCAGGAGGTGGGCAAAGCACCCAGCCTGACCAGGTGGGTTACCTGCCACTGGTGGGAGAAACATGGCAGCAAGAGGAACAGAGTACATCTGTAGACTTGCATGATGGCAACTCAATTGATTTGTAGTCCTGAAGGGGGCAAGCTGCCATCCACACAATGTTTTCAGTCCATCAGCTCAGTCAAGTGACTGAAGATTGATTTTGGAGGGTCTTTGATATAACAGGCAGGTGATACATCCAGAAAGAAATGACACTAGGGCTAGGAAAGGAATTTGAAATCTCAATTGCAGGGATGAGTAATCACAGTTTTAACTGTTGCCAGAAATTACATATCCTGTAACAGGTAGGAGCACACAGCATTAGCAAACATTTGGAGTTGCTGATGATTTCGAGGCTCCACCATGGATCAGAAAGCAGTAGCATTTCTGCATGTCTCTTGTCTAGCTTTGGACACCACTGTCTTAATGCTTAGTACGCAGGTGGGATCCTGGCTCTGCCTGGGTCCTCTTTCTACCCCTGCATGCACATTGGTCTGAAATTTTCAGCCACTCTGTGCTCCTGAGGCAGCTCTTTGTTATTGTGTAAAGCCCTTGCACAGCCATGCAAATGGAGAGGCTTCTTACATGTCCCTCTGCCCCACAGGGCTGCATAAAGGCCATTTACCCGGTATTTCAGAGGTACTTTTATTGGCAAATGACTGGCAATCATTCAGCTGGGGTGGAAGGCACGGGCTGGGGAAAGGCGGAGAGCATTTACTGTGATACTTCATCATCAGGGCACTGGAGGGCTGCAGCAGGATCAGGCCTGGTTACATGGATGAAGTGAAGACACATATCCTTTGGGAGTTGTGCTGGACTTTGCCTGGAGCAGGAAAACGCCCTGCATCATTCACTAAAAAACATACCTTCACCCTGGAAGAACACTGTAGGTGGCTGGTTACTGTCCTTAGTTCCTGGGTCAGGACAGCTCCAGATTGGCTCCTTGCTGGTTGAGACTTAACTGAGTTAATCTGAGGCAGCCTTGTTGTAACACACACTCACAAGCACATACATGTATACAAATTGAACATCTCTTGCCTTGCATAAGGCAAAGTTATCTGGCCTTTTCAAAGGCTTAGGCTGGAAGGAGACACTGTCAAAGTCCTTCCAAATAATTGTTTGTTGGCATTACTAGTGAAGTTGGCTAAGTGAAGGGAAAAGGTTTTCATAATCTCTTATCTCTCCCTTATAAATTACTTCTTCCATGTGTCAGCAGTGCTGGAGGACTGTATTTGCTCTTGCTTTCCACATCAATTCTTGGGATGGTGATGGTGGAACCTTGGTTCTTACAGGGAGAAACATCTGCAACCTGTCAGGATGATTCCTCCTGAATTTCCCCAGAGATGACAGTTATTGGAATAACTACTGCCTCTAACAACCACCATGGAATTTGTTGAGCAGTGAGCAGATCCTGTGGCTTTTCCCCTCCACATTTCTTTTCCAGACACATTTTCCCAGAGCCCTAAACTGAAAGCAGCCCTGAATCAAAAGCAACCCTCTGATCCCGAAAATGTGACAGAGAAATGTCCCTTTTACATCTCCAATAGAGAAGCATGGGGAAACTGATCATTTTAAGCCTGACAAGATCTGGTTGTTATAGATATTTTTTTGCTAGGTGGGACATAGTAATAGTAAACATGACTGTCTCCATTCAGCTAGCTAACCACAAGCCTCTTGACACTTCCATCTTATTGGGAAACCTGTGGATAAAAAGAGGAAGACACCCAAGGACCCCAAACAAATCCCAACTGGAATATTCATGGTCCCTAGCTACTGTCAGCCTTCCTCTACTGTCATTTTGCATCCTCCTCTGCAGGGTCAGGGTAATACAGGAACTTTTGCATTTTGAGGGCAAATTTACTCAGACCATCTGGTGGTTTGTTTGCTGGGATGCCAGGAAGGCTAACTGAAATTGCAAGCAAGCTAGAATTTCATAGCAAGTGGAAAGGCAATGCAGACTAGTTGGGACACACATGTCTATTGCAGGGACCTCCCTAAGCAGCTTTACTGTGCATAAATCATTGATGACCAATGCCAGTAACACCTTTAATTTCTGGATTCCCATCAACAAATATTTCCACTGATGATCAAACTGATTTTGGTTCAATAATCTATTAAGTTTCTCTCTTTTTATCTTCTCTCCATTTAGAGCTACCCAGACAGTGTAATATGCTAGTTATGAAGCAAAATTCAGCAGCAGAAAGAGATTTTTTTTCCCCTCTAAGCACTACTTCTAGGCTACCATTAAGTTATCATATCGGCTCAGCTCATCATGTAAGGAATGAAATTGCATAGGCTTCTTTTTCTTTTATCTCTTAGACAAGACCAAGATTTTGAATACTTTAGGCATTTGATTTTGCAGCTATTCAGCACACAGGACACCTATAAGAACAAGAATGTAGTTTCAGGATCCTCACAGACTCTTAATTCACCCCCGATTTCAAAGTCACCTTCTAAACGTGCAGAATGCTGCACTGTGGTATCACTGTTAACTAATTGGAAGAAAATGTATTATGAGAAGCAGAATTTTACAGTACATTTTAACTCCAATCTCTTGTGTTACTTTTGGTATAGAAAAGCTTTTTTCTGTCTCATTTGTTCTTCATCCTAAACTTTAGGCTTTGTTGTTAACATTCCCTGGATAACAGCTTCTGTTTTTAGCAGTTCAGCAGTGGAGGCTCCAGAGAATTCATTTGCATGCAACTGAGATGCCGCAGTTACAGGCACAAGCAGAAGGAAAGTGCAGAAGTTCTGTCCTCAAGACTGCTTTTGAAGCTTCCAAGGCAACAGGGGATGGACACACTTACTGAGTCTCTTCATATGGTAACACTCGGTCTTTTTGTCTTCTTTCACATCCCAACCATAACATTTACCTTAACATAAAGAGAAGACAGAGAATGACAAAGTAATCACTAATCAGTAAGGAGCTTCAATCAACATTATTGCCAACCTTTTTAGACAAGGCCACAGGAAGAACACAGAAATGGCTAAAGCTCCAGGACAACATGTGAAAACTGTCGCCTTTCTGGCTATAATAAACAGCCCTGCCCCTGAAGGATAGAAAACTTCCATGGAGGAAAGTATCTCAGACATGGTTTGTTTAGAAGACAAGTGGCATGGAAGGCATTCTGAACTAATAATCTTTCCCTTGATCTGTATGGGCTAAAGAACTAGGCAATCAGGTGTTAAGCCAAATACTATTAGTGCACTCAGATATGCTTTCATGTGAGATTCGCTCATTTAAGTTGTCATCAGCCATCTGAAAAACAGTAATTCAGTTGTTGGGGAATATGTGGGAGACATTCCCCAGTGAAACAGCTGTCTGGAAAGCAGTTTTGCTGTAAAGGCCTTGGGGTCCTGGTGGACACCAAGCTGACCATGAGCCAGCAATGTGTCCTTGCAGCAAAGAAGGTCAACAGCCTTTTGGGCTGCATTAGGATGAGTGTTGCCAGCAGGTTGAGGGAGGTGATCCTTCCCTTCTACTCAGCCCTGGTGAGACCAAATTTGGAGTGATGTGCCAAGTGCTGGGCTTGCAGATACAAGAGAGAGATGGAGCTACTGGAATGAGCCAGCAGTGGGCCATGAAGATGATTAAGACGCTTGAGGATCTCTCATATGAGGAGAGGCTGAGAGAGCTGGGACTGTTTAGCGTGGAGAAGGTTCAGGGGGGCCCTAGTAGTGTGCATAAATACCTGATGAAAGGGAATGAAGAAGAGGGAGCCAGACTCTTCTCACTAGTGTCCAGTGTCAGGAGAAGAATGTGTACAAACTGAAATGCAGAGAATCCTGTTTAAACATAAGGAAAAAAAAAATTGGGGTTGCAGAAAGAGGCTGTGGAGTCTCCACCTGTGGAGATATTCAAAACTTCAGAGGCCACAGCCCTGAACAACCTGCTGTAGGTCACCCTGTTTGAGAATGGGATTGGACTAGACAACCCCTGTGGATCCCTGCCAACTTCAGATATTCTGTGATGTTGTGAGACCTGACAAGTAAGTGGTTTAAATGGCAACCAAAAGTGACTGAAGTGAATTTTGCAAGGAAAAGGGTGAAGAGCACATATCCAAACAGATCCTGCATCTGAATTGAAGGAAAGTAAATTCTTAAACTGCCTGACCTCTGTCACAGGAACACCACCTCCTATGACCTAACCCTTCAACAGCTCACTGACATCAATCCAGCTTTTGCAGAGAAAATGCAAACTCACAGAATCAACATGCAGGAGCAGTGCTCAATTTGTTACTTGTCAAAAAAAAAAAAAAAAAAAAATTCTCCAAAAAATTTAAATGGCAGTGCTCATTTTTTTATTTTTAAAAAAAAAAAAAAAAAAAAAAATTCTCCTAAATATTGACATGCAAAGTTCTTTGCCGCAAAAGCTATATGGAACATGATTAGGATTTTTAGGGATGACCTACAGAGAAAGAGATTAATAGGAACATCTTGGGCATTCTTAATTAAGCAAAGTATAATGGAAATTTGCACACACTGTTGCTTCAGGTAAGGTAATTAAGGGAAATCAGAAGAATTTCTTTTGCACAAATCTGATTTCCTATTGTAGACAAATACCACCCCATACCTGTCTTTCAAGAGGGCTGCATATGTGTGTGCTTAGATCTCAGAGTATGTTGCAGAAGTCCCCCCCCTCAATCACAGGTGTCAGAGGAAGCAGTGAGAGGTTTACCTGAAACAGGCATGCCCTGAGGAAACTTCGCAGGTGGTTTTTTGGTAGTACTATTTGTGGTAAGCCATATTTAGATCAAACAGACAGGACAACTGATGTCTCAGAGTTTCTAAATCATAGCATGATTT